GAGTTTTATGACGTTTTATAAACCAAATGAATAATCAATAAACAGACGGATAAATACAGTTACACATAAAACAAACGAGGTAAGAAGAAATCCATAATCAATAAACAAACGTTCAGGATTCGAAGATCTTCTGCTGATGCACATATTGTCCGATCAATCTATATTCTGATATTTAGAGGCTATCGGACTGTTATTGGTATTCTTCCTCTAGCGCCACCATCAGGTCATTTTAACTTCATATTCTCATTGAATCTGATGGCGGACGCTGACACCTTCAAAATAAAAGTCTTTTATTGGTTTATGAGTAAATACCTGCAGAACTACAAACCTTCCCATCAGCCACTGCTGCACTTTGTGGTTTAATGACGACGTCAGCAGGCATGGACTGATTCATTCTTATTAATTTTGTTGCTCTTGGGGGCGGGCGGGTTAGTATCCTACAGTAGTTAGTTACCTACCAAGTAACTAACGAACCCTCCTCATCCCTACCGGTAACTAACGAACCTCCTCCATCCAACAGTACCTAACGAACGCTCCTCATCCTACTGTAAACTAACGAACCCCCTCATCCTACAGTAACTAACGAACCCCTCATCCTACAGCTAACTAACGAACCTCCTTCATCCTACAGTAAACTAACGAACCCTCCTCATCCTACAGTAACTAACGAAATCACCTATAACCTCCATCCTACTGTAACTAACGAACCTCTTCATCCTACAGTAAACTAACGACACCCTCCTCATCACTACAGTAACTAACGAACCCTCCTCATCCTACTGTAACTAAGAACCTCCTCCATCCTACAGTAACTAACGAACTCCTCTCATCCTAACAGTTTAAAACTAACGAACCCTCCTCATCCTACAGTAACTAACGAACCCTCCTCATCCTACTGTAACTAACGAACCCTCCTCATCCTACTGTAACTAACGAACCCTCCTCATCCTACGTAACTAAACGACCCTCCTCATCCTACCAAGTACTAACGAACCCATCTCTCTGAAAAAAAAAAAAAAAAAAAA